TTGTGTTACTGCCCTACATACCCTATTGTCTACCAAATCAAATAGATATATAATAAACTACATTAAAATACATGCATTATTTCCAAAAGAGAAGAATATAATATATAGGAGGCTCATTCTGGGTCGCATTTAAAGAAATCTAAGGAAGGTCAAAAAGTACTTTATTAAGAAAAAAATTAATCAAATCATTTCATTCATGGCAACTAAGACCAGGTGTTTCAATGTACTAATATGGACGTGAAAAGAGAACTTTAAAAGTCCGATAGAAAGTGATGACTGGGCTGCTTTGGCTCGGTGACTGGGCACTCTGCCTCTCATTCCCCTCTCGCAGAGGCAGCTCTGGAGTTTCCTGCCACGTTGCCTTGTTCACAGGAAAGGTTAACAGCTGCTCCTCTCCTTACACACCAGGCAAATAAACCGCACAGCAGAAAGCTATAAACAGAGTCATTACACTGAATGTTTGGCATCTTTTTCCCATCCACCTAGGAACTTCCTGATGAGGTTGTCCTTGTGAGATGCAGAACATGGCCAAATTATAATTATCTCAGCCAGAGAGGTGAGCTAAATGTACCAAATGATTTTCCAAAGTTGCTGCCTGCCTTCATGTAGACTCATCAAACCCGTCTACTATGTAACAGCTATGAAGAACTTAAGCATACAGGCAAGGACGAAGAATCAAAGCAGTGATAGGATATTTTCCTGTTAGTGATGTGTTCCTGTTTAGCACCATTTTATTTTATTTCAATAAAAATTACCTCCAAAATTATTTTTATTTATTAATCAAATAAATCATTTTTTTAAAAATTAGAGCCAAATTGTAATTCACTGTGTCACGTCTGCAGCACTGAACGTGCTATGGGTCAGAGGTGCTACAAATTCAATTACATGTAGTTCAATTTAACAAATACACAATATCAAGTGTTTTTTAAGAACATAAGGATAAAACATTGCATTGGAAGACAACACAAAAAGTGAAAAAGACACCAGTCTGTAGTCTCAAAGGGGAGATAAACAGGTGTACAGTTAACAAAACCCAAGAAAAATCATAATTACTGCCATTATTAAGCATGCCAACATGGTAAACTCAAAGTTATGTTAAAAACAAGAAAGAGAAAACTTTAAAAAGTGGTCTTAAGGTATTTAAGAAGGAATAAATATCAGTTGTACTCCACAGGGCAAAACTGGGATCAATGGCTAGAAATTACAAGAATATAGAGGAAGGCCAGTGGTATGTATGTCTGTAATATGTATATATAGACACAGATACAGATGTTTTCAATTTTTTTTAACTGAAGCTCACATGTCTATAGAATTTAGGGCAAAATAAATCGTTGATGACTTACTAACTACAGGGGCATCTAATGAAACCTCTGTACTGGAGAGGAGTTCATGGGACTCCTTCCAAGAGCCTGTCCTCTCCAGAGGCCCCTCAGGATCACACAAAGCATCCTGTCACCCAGCGTCACAAGTGAACAGTCCATAGAAACTAGATATAAGGGAGACTTGTAGCTATGAGGTGATCTGAGGATGGAATTCTATCCAAAGGAGTGATTCACACTAGGTGGAGAGTAAATGACCCAGACACATCTTTTCTCATGAAGAGTTTTACATTTTAGAGAGGCCTCAGAGGAGAAAGGAACTACAGAGGCATCAGAAGAAGAGAAAGAGAAAAATTGATCTCTGATCATGGAAACGCAGACACAGCGCAAAGCAACTGATAGCCAACTCTGAGAGGGGAACAAGCTGACTAGGCTTCCACACTTTTGGTAGGCAGAACTAGACTATACCCTGAACAATGTTCCAGTTCTCCGTGAGATCCGTCTGTCTGCCTTCTAAGGCATGTTCCTACTATCCTGTGTGAATTCACTCATCACCAGAAGGAAACGTGAGATGATGTTGGATTTTATCTGAATTCTGTACTCCTCGAAAGCAGTGATTGTCAAGAAATTACCCCCCACCCTTTTGTGTTCTGGAAAACAGCTTACTACAAAGAACCGCTCTTCCCCATACAACAAAGGCAAAACTCACAGTGACCCCTTGTAACCTATAAGGCCAAGATGCAGACCCTCCAAATTCCCATTCTTTATCTCATAAATGATTAGCTGAACTATTTGTCCCCATTGACCATTCTGATTGATCAATGCCTGTTAACTGGGCTTGACCAAACTTTAATCAGGCTTCTCTCCTTCCTCCAAGCTCTTGAACTTTGACCCACTCCTGAGCAAAGGAAGTGATCAACCTGCCTTTAATGGTCCCTCCCAAGAATCAGCTGGCCTCAATGAAAAACATTCCCTGATCAACAGTCCAGTCATGCCACTCACTCATCCCACTGTCCCGCATCCAATTCTTTCTAAAAGAAAAGCCCTTTTTTGCTTGAACTTTGAGGTGTTCATAGATTGCTGGGCCAATTGATGTCCTTCAAAGTCCAACGACCCCCATTTCTGGGCTCTCAGATGTCTGCCTGTGATCCCTCAACAGATAAAGTACATTCTTTGCTGGGCATGTTTCTCCTAACAAACTAGTAGCCCTAGGTAATAATCTCACAATAGCTCAGGCTGGCTTGTTTCAAGCCACCTTATCAGAGTCATTAACCCCACTGCCCTTCACAGACCCTAAACTTCTTACCTCACCTACAGCCAATCAGAGACTTATGCACAAGACGATCAGGCACCTTGTGACACGACCTTGTGAAAGACCACAACAACCAGCCAGAGGGGCTCACACAGGCACCTCCAGTCTGTGTGGCCCACTGTTATCTGTGGCAGCACACCCTAATAAACTCCTTTCTATTCTCATACTTTATCTCTGGTAAGTTCTTTTACCAAATCGCATGTCACTGCCACACTGACCAGCCACCCCATTGTGTCCCACAACATAAATCTCATGGTCAAAGTGGTTCTTCCTACTCTGATATTTTCCCTCCTCCTATTGTGATACTCCACCTCCCCTTATTGTAATCATCTTTTTGAATAGTCTCTCTTTACCTAAGTCTAGATTTATTTTTATTTGACACTTTCAATTTGCAAAGGGCCTAACTTTACAAAATACAAATTAAAATAATTAAATACTCTCTTATTACTGACATTTATTTTTATAGGATCACAACTATTATGCATTTCTTGATATACAGCCACATCGTAAAATATATAGAAGATAGAGACTACCATAAATAACACACTATTTTCCCAATGTTCAAACACAAAAATTACTTAAGATCATTAATTATTAAATTAATTAAAATAAAGCATTTAATACCAAACATGAGAAGCTGAACCTGAGACAGGAGGGAAAGGGGCAGGGCACAGCCATTCAAGGAATGATGAAGCAATTAACACCAAAATGGTAGAAGATTCAACTCCCTGGAGGCCTTGAGGCTCAAGATGGCAGGAGATTTGACTTCCAGTAAACCTTGAGCTTCATTATATGCTCATTGTAATATATTAACATGGTAAATGACACTCCCACAGGCACCATGACAGCTTCAACGCTGACCATAAAAAGTCAAAGAGTGGGCAGTGGCCCAATTCCTGGGAATCTCAGCCCCTTCCCTAGAGTAGTTGGAATGGTCCTCTCATTTGTTGGCATGTGAAGCTACCTAGCTGATAAAAACTGGCAACACTGCACCTCGTGGCCTCTCTTGCTCCCTCGTCTTCAGAGATGCCCACACTCTGTCTATGGAGTGTGTACCTACTTTCACTTTAACCTGAGCACCCAATCCCCACACCTTATGGCTTTTCTCTCACCTTCTGAAACAGTCTACACTCTATGTGGTATATATTTCTCTAAATAAATCTACATTTACTCAACTGTGGCTCGCTTTTGAATTCTTTCCTGCATGAAGCCAAGGATCTACACTTGGCGGGGCATGGCCCAGAGGCTCAGCTGAGACCTAGGACGCAGCCCTCCTCTCACCACACATTCAGTTTTCCTGTATCAAAACCAAACAGCTGAGGTTTGGAAACTGCAGAAATAATTTCTTTATATTTTACTTTTATCTGGTATAGATCAATCATCTCTTTACAAAGTCAAAAGAAGGAAAAGTTTGATGAACTTGTTATGTTGGCCATCTATTAACTGAAGCATTAAACCAACAATAATACAGCTGCTAAAGTTCTTTCTGAAGAACTTTCTGCAACAATCTGTCACTTTTCCAGTGGTCCAGTACCCTAGTTTCAACTTAGCATGGATACCATATAGAGTTAGCACATTAACTGCAGCACATACATAAAACAGATCTTCAATGTTTTTAATCAAGAAGGGGAATATATAAGACATGTCTTTTTTTAGAAAAAGGATATCTTTTTCTAAAATACTTACATTCCTGTTTATAAAAAAATATTTTTAAATAATACTTATATTGTAAGCAGATAGGTTAAGGGGTCCCCAGAGAAAGAGAATGAGGCATGGCTTTCTCGACATAAAAGAAGCTATTTTGGGTCTAAGTCATTTTGTGTTCTAAGCCTGGCCACTATGTTTGCCCTTGAACAGGTCTCAGTAATTCATGATCTTAAGGGAAGTAAAAGAATGCAGGAACAAAGCAAAACAATAGTTCATCTATAAAACAGAGTCCTAGTTACTCCTCTAGGGATATACGTAACAATCTGATACATATCTTTGAGTTCAGCTGGAACAAAGGCCCCTGCCCAGCTGGGATGGAATGATTAGGACGAGAACCTGAGTCAAACTAAAGCTTGGACTCTGTCAACCTTTGCCCCAATTTTACACTGAATTTTCCTCTGCTCAAGCCCCTCCATGAATATGCATATACCACCAAGCCCCTTAATGAGTTTGCAAATACCCTTAGCTTGAAACTTCCCCAGTTTTGCTGTTCAGGGAGACACTGCTTTGGGGAGAATCCCGTGCCCTCCTTACTTGCTGCAGTTAAGTCCTTCTCCAGATCTCTGGTGTGTTTGTGTCTCTTGCCCAGACACCCACCAAAAGGTGAGCCCAGTTTTCCCATAACAGTATAATAAATACATCACAAAATATCAACTACTCACCCGCATTGACTATGGCATCCACCTCTAGCAATGTGATGTCACCTCTATACAGAGAAACTTTGTCACTCAAATTCTTCTTCACCTGTGATGTTTCCTGAGTATTTTCTTCTGTAATAAAAAGGGAATATATATTAACAGTAGTACTCTTAATTAATTTAATAAAGACAACTTTAATACAAGAGCCAGTATGGGTCACACTCAGATACATTAGACAAGTGGAAATAGAGGTGTAAGTACCAAGGGTGTGGCTTGTTCTCTATTTTTTGTGTATTCCTCAATACAAATTTAGTATCACATATATAATAGTCATTCAATAAATTTAGACAAGTTATATTGGTCAACAAAAAGTTCAATGTTTACTATTAATATTATAAAAACATTAATTTTAAGATATAATTATGTACCACTAGTTTCACCAGAAGATATTAAAAAAAAAAGATGTGTAATTACCAAGACAAAATACATTTTCACAAATAAAAAAGCTTACTTCTATTTTTGTTCTGGTTACCTAAAAGGCATCCTTGAAAAGAATATGTACTCAGAAACAAAAAAATTTAGGTTCAGCTCTTTGCTACTTCTAAGTAACAAACTCTTCCTCAGAATGGTATGGATCAAGAACATTTAAACATTGAGCTCCTCCTTTATCCAATTCTATCAACCTTTCACTCTAGAGGGCACTGCTAGATTTAAAAGAAAAAAAGCTCTGTTCTGCATACAAAAGACAGCAAGTTGGTATTGTTAAAATAAGCTAAAACTTTACCTTCTAAAACCTGACATATTTTTAAATGTTTTAGAGCAATACTATAATTTGAATTTTCATCTAGTTTTAACAAATAATAGTAGTAAAGCACATTAAACAAAGCTGTATAAAATCAATGTTTTAAAATACATTAAATTGTTATGCATAAAAAGCTTTTTAATATACCTCTAGGAAAGCTGTTGTATATATAAATTCAAACTTTTTAAACCATTTATGATCTGTACAAATCTTTCAAGGGGGAGATAATGCTACTGATTCACAAAGACACCCCTAAATGAGCATGCAGTTTTGAGGTCTCTAAGGGATTAGAGGTGATAGGTTATAAGCCAAGAAAAAATTGTCCAAGACTAAGGAAATGATCTGTGGCCATAAAAGTGATCTTTCCTCTCTCTGGCGCCAAAGCATCTTCTTTGCAATCACTTCTCTCCTGAAAGGATTCTAATCAAATATTCATTGGTGGTAGCAGTAGGGAGGAGGAGGAAGCGGGGGTCGGGATGGAGGGTGAAGGAGAAGGAGAAAAAGAATTGTACAATAAAAGAGTAGAGAAAGATTTTAGATGACTTCAAAATTAAAAAAAAAAAAAAAAACACACACACAGCTGACTTTGAGCACCGTAGGGACTCCTAGAGTATTCTCCTTAGTCAGATAAAGACTAAGAAATAGTGCTTACTACAGACTGACTGTTCAAATCTTGGTCTATGGATAAGTTATTTATTTTCTCCATGTCTCAGTCCATAAATTACTGCCTCTTTTACAGTTAACATAAGTTCATTACACTTAGAATAACGTTCAGTCCATGGTAAGCTCTCTACACACACTACCTTTTTTTTTTACAAAGATTTTACAAAAGTTACAAGTATTATTTCAGCATCCATATTTAAAATACCACAATAGTTTAAAAGTATTTTCAATATTTATTATTATTATTCCCTATCAGTGAAAGAGACTGGACTTTGTTTGTGCTCTTACTAATCTGCCAATGCCTGGCCCAATGACAAAGACTTTGAACAAGAAGATCTTGAGTTCCATGACCAATCAATTTCTATTCTTACTACTTTTACCAAAGTAGAAAGTCCTGATTCCCAATTAAAGACTGTCAGATGACAATGAATATTTGGTGGTACTGTCAGAAAATTCTAGATATGTGGACTATTGTGAATCTAAATTATACAGACTTCTCATGAATGATGAGTTTCAAAACTCCATCACGCATTACATTGATAAGTATAACACAAATGAAAGCAGAAAGATTGACTGTTTCAACTTGGGAGACAGTAAATAGATTTCTAATCCATCCTCTAGTTGCAGTTCTAAAAAGTATTTCTTCATTTTCTTGTGAAGCATTATATATGTAATTGCACTTATAGTAATGTGACTTAATATATATGATAATAAAGCATGTATTTATTTTTCCAAAAGTAAAGAAATTGTTAAAGAATTGTATTGGAAAGCTTCAAAGTTTAAACCATTTATACCACAATTCAGTTTTCTTAAAAGAAATCCTAATCTCTCAGCTGCAAATTTTAAAAATGGGATATTTTGAGCATCCTGAGGAAATATTTTTCTTTCTTTCATTTTAAAAATTCACATAAGCATCTTTTTTCCTCAAAGTCAGATATTCTGTTGCTGCCCAGTTCCTCACATGGTGTATCAAAAAGGCATAAATGTACTCAAAAATTATAATGTGATAGTATTAATAATTACCAGTATTTCTTTCAACAATAAACCAAAACCAAATGGCATATTTTGGACCACCAACTGTTCTCTGTAAAGGCAACAATGTAATTCACCACTAGAGGTCACCTCTTAATTTGAATAGCAATGCACTGCCTTCCTTTTCACACAACTGTGTTCCATAGGCACTGATCCCAATGTGTCTTTTCCCATATCCTGAGTTTTTAGTAATAAATAGGACAGAAAACTGTCAAGTATTGCTCCCTCATGGACATTCTATATGTACACAAAGCACTGATTCATGTTTTGTACATCACTGGCTTTATCCAACTGAAAGTTGGAATATCTGTCAGTGTGCACATATGATAGTAATTGGTCTCCCAGATCATATACCATTGATATTGTAAGAAAAAACAAAACAAAACAAAAAAACTAAACAAAAAACAGAGCTAGACAGTGGTTAAAATAGTAAAAAGGAAAAAAACTGATTGTATTCAGGAACTACTGCAGCAGGGGAAAAGAGATCTCAGTATAGAACTGGGGTTAATTCCCAATACAGCAAGGACAAGTGGGGATTTACAGCCAAGAACCAGAGTAGGGATCAGTGGATGGAAAATTACTAAAAGGAAACATTGGGGGTGAAGGGAGATTTTGGTTAAACAGACAAGATTCTTGCTGAAGGCAAGCCAGGATGGTCAGATATCACCTAGGGTACTGGAGGGGGCAGGGGATGCAGAATCTGATTAGAATGGAGGGTGATCAGATATCAAAGATGGGAAATTCTCTCCAAGTTGACTTAGAAGGATTCCTGCTAAACTTGGACAATGCAGGCCTGGTAATGATGGGGCCTGCTTGAGAAAAGGGCTTAGTGAAACATGACTAAAGTTTAGTTAAGGAGGGAGTCTTTGTTAGTCCCTTCTCTTATTCAAGGAAAGAAGAGACATTCTTCTCCTTGACCAATATAAGTCCATTCTGATTAGGTTGGCCTTTTGTTCATTAAGAACCAGCAGAACCATTTAGTTGAGACCTGGTAGTAGAGGATATTTGCTAGGTGGTACAAGTAGTCAGGCATTTAATGAGGGGAATTTCTACGAAAAGAAAAAGAAAAACAAGGATTAATGGTTGGGGCACACTATAAAGCCAGTTTCTGGGTCCAGAGGGTAGACAGTTGAGAATATCAGGACGCTGGGCTTGAAGCATCTTTCACAGTTTGAATGTCCTCGGTGATGGCATGAGGCATTTCTGGAATGGCCCACGCGATAGCAAGCATGAAGGTTATACACACATGATCTGTTGTGGGGATTTCCTTGAAGTTTATATCAGGTCATCAGATTCAGCTTGTAGGGCTTTAGGGAAGGGGCAATTTTGGTTCTCAGTGATGCCAAATCAGGAGGAGGGGAGAAAAACTGGAAACATTTTGGAGAATTGTAGCCAGATATTGGAGGAAATGGGAAAATTGGTAGCATGTAGAAGACAATGAACAAGATTAGAATTTAGTAACCCACAAGGGTACACTATAGTTTTTCAATGAAACATAAAATGTCTCTCTACAGTCACCGTCCTTTTTATTCTGGTTTACAAAATAAGTCTGGTCTCATTAGATTTGGTCTAACTATTTACATAAGTGCTGCAAGAACGGTAATTGACTACTTAGGCCTTTCAAGTTTGCTTTATTAGAACTTTTCATAAAGTATCTCAAATTAGATTTTTGAAATCTTCTCAAGGTTAGGAAGACAATCCAAGAACTCACCAACAGATTTAGCCTGTAATACTTATAGATTTGGGTAAATTCCTCTCTTCTCAAGGTTCCCAAAATATCGTAAGGTTCCTGGGTTTACCAGGAAGTGCCCTTCTTTAGTCACTGTAAGGCTGGGTACTCTATAAATTAGGTACCACACTGGTTTTTCCAAAAGGCTTTGTAAGCATTAGTTCTATAAAGCAAAATTTAATTCTTTAAAACTGTCTGATAACATGAGATCCTATGCATCATTCTCAAATATGACATCTAGCCAGAGTCAATAAGGCAAAAATTTCCAATTATGTCATGTTACAAAAAAGACAGATTCTTATGTAATTTATACAAATAATGTCACTGCCATGAAAATAAGAATACTCAATAGAGTTTCTGAATTCTAGAGAGATCGGGTAGGGGGAAAAGATAAATGTTTCGTTTTTGTTTACCAAAGTATAATCAACTAAATTGCCATGAGTTATAGATAGCTTGAGAAAACAGAAAAGGGGGTTTCTTAAGTAAAACATTTAAGAACCAGCAATGCTCCAAAACAATAACCCCTAAAAGTCAACATCACTCTTCATTAGTTCATTCAGTCCCATGTAATTGATTCTTTTTCCCCCCAGCATTATTTAATGTATTGGAACAACAACAAAAAACCCACATAATTTTCTTATCCTGTTAAACCAATAACTATATTAAGTAATCTTATATACTGAGATATATTTCTGAATTCCCTATTCTATTCTACTAAGCACTTTTTATAGTATGTTCTTTTTTTTTTCTTCATGTAACTGATTTTTATTCTGCTTGATCTTGGGTTAGCATTTTTTTCTGAACCAGTCAGCTTCTCCTTTACTTCTAGAAATTGTTACCCGGTCCAGAGGTATGGTCTCAAAGTTACTTAAGCAATAATGCCTTCAGAAGCCACTACCCCAGAGT